ATTGGAATTGACTCGATGGCCATGAATTTGGAGTGTATACCATCCCTTGCTTCTGTCCCCTCCTCTCTTCCTTGCTGATATGTTTTGTGTGAGTATAAAACGGGAAGAAGAGTGGAAGAGAAGGGGGAAACCAGCCCCTTGTCAGAGTCCCCTTCTCAGACAAAGGCGGGCCCAAGTCCTCTGATCCAGATGTGGGGTCTGGGTATACAGTGAAGGAGAGGCCTCCTTTTCAGGATGAGCTGGATGAAGTGGAGGATGAGCCAAGGGAGTAAAGTGAAGAGAGCATCTTAAGAAGAAACTGAACACCGCCGGTCTGAATGGGCCTAGCTGACAGGGCTACCATGGATTTTGGCCACCAGGCCAGATGCTAACAGGAACCTAGAGAACCCCTCTCCAAGGTACATTTTGCAGTGGCTCCTGGGAACCTCCCATGTTGGTGACAAGGCAGGCAGTTGCTAGGGACTCTGGAATCCCTGGGGTAGTTAAGGCACTGCCCTCTCCCTAAGCATAGATAGCCTCCCACCTCAAAGGTATGTGGCTGGTCTTGCAGGAACAGAGGAGGAGAAGGCAAAGCAGAGGCCTCTCTGCATGTTTCTAGACTGTGAGGGGTGCTCTGGTCAGGAACCTTCCATTTCTAGCCCACAGACATGTCTAGAGAACTCAGCAGCTAAATATTTGGGAGATATGTCCCCAAGGCTCAGAACTGCTCAGAGTCAAGCCCTCCTGAGGGTGCCCAGCTACCAGGGAGCGCCTCTCTAGGGATTTCTAACACACCCAATCTCGGGGCCAGACCGCTGGGAGAAAGTGGCAGAAGAAGCAAAGTAGTGGAGCCAGCTGATGAGCTCTTCTGCTTGGGACTGGCCAGCCATATCCTTCCGCAGGAGGCAAGGCTTGGCCTCACTCCCGCTGTCCTCGCTTCAGAAAACTCAGATTCATTTCCCTCCTGGTGGTTGCCTGAATCAGTCCTTTGAAGGATCATATCTGCATCTCTGTGTAAGCCAACAGTGCCACACACAGATATTCTCTCTCTCGGGCCTGAGGCCATCTACCCGCCCAAGAAGACAAAAATGTGGGCACATGGGCACATTGCCTCTGTGTTATAAGAACAATTTCCCCCTTAGACTGTTGATAAGGGATTGCCCCATTCTGGACACTGAAAGGTGTGAGCCCTGGCTTCACTTTGGCCACCAGCAAGCTGTAGACACAGCCCTCAAGGCTTCTATTTTCTCTGCTGTACACATTGATCTGCAAGGTCAGCAGTTCAAAACCACCATCCGCTCTAAGAAAGAAGACAGGTCTTTCTACCCTCGTAAGGAGTTACCATCTTGAAAACTCGGGCATGGGGGACAGTTCTACCCTGTCCTATAGGGTCAGTGGCAGGGAGTTTGGTTTGGATTAATGAGGACCCCTGTGATCACTAGTAGCTCTAATCCTGTTTGTAAAGGTTTACCTGTACATTGAGCAGACTGAAGCCACCTGAGTGCAGAACTGGAGGAAAAGAATGACTGGAACTCAGTGCCTCTCAGAGGGCCTGCTTGCAATGCCTTGGCTGAGCAGACAGGTTCTTTGTGGCCAAGTAGCTCTGTGAGTTGATGGGTTCGGCACAGGCAGTGCTGGCCTCCTGCTTACTCCCCGCAGTCCCATTTGCTTCATCCAGTTGGCCTTTTGTGGGGGAAATCAACTGAGTGATCTGCTCATGTCTTTCTATTGAGAAATGGGACCTTTCTCTTGGGTTTTCTTTTCCACACTCACATTTGGCTCTAGCTCGACCCAGCCTGTCTTCGCAATTCACACTGCCATCTTCCCATAGCAATGAAATAAAAGTCACCACTGGCCCCTGAACAGTTGGCTAGTAACTGTCTAGAGCGGTATCTAGAGCTGTGGAACCCAAGCCCTGATGCTTGTTTCCAGCTACCCTTTTTCCAGTTGCCCCGGATTTGACTCCAGCTCTTGGCGACCTGGTATGTATCCATGGGCTTTTCAAAGGCTGATTTATCAGAAGTAGCTCACCAGGCTTTTCTTCCAAGGTGCCTCTCGTGTATTCAAATCTCCAACCTTTCCATTAGCAGCCAAGCACATTAACCATCTGCACCCCCCCCCCCCCAGGGATCCTAGACTGGCCTTAGAAAACAACTTATTTGAAAACATGGCATAGTTGCTCATCTAAGGAAGGCCTTGCAATGAGATCAAACCAGAGAAAGTGAAGCAAAGGAAAATGTGCCAGCCCATTCTGTTGGTTAACAAGCAGAGCAGGCAGCCCCCAAGGTCGGTGAGAGGTCCGGGGAGGCAGAGGAGACAACTCCCAAACTGCCCTTCATCTGCCCCAGCCACCTCTGCACCTGCCTAGGCACCAAGACGAAACTCACATGGTGCCCAGATGCTCTTCTGCTGGGCCAGGTTTGGGTCCTGTGCACACATGGGAGTCATACCTTTCCCTCGCTGCCCTCTGACAGTACAAGATTTCCCGTCCTCTCTGTCCGTGCCCCTCTGCTGTACCCTGCCTCATTTCATATGTGTGCTCCATGCCAAATATGACAAAACAGCCACCCCCCATTTGCTAGTAGTCATCTTGGAAAATATGATGACTTGTAATTGTTACTTTAAAAAAATTGGTGCCCGGTGGTTTGAGGCCAGAACTTTGGGGCTATGGCCTCAGCGAGAGGAGGTGCCTGTGAAATTGGTTATAAAAATGCTCAAATCAGTGAGAGAAAGGATGATACCATTAGCAGGCCTTGGTGGGACTTAGCTGGGAGGAAGCAGGCCACAGGGTATTCACAGTTTCTCAAATAAGTAATTGCTCTGGGCCTAAGGAAAGGAGCTCTGGTGGTGCTGTGGGTAAAGCACTGGGCTGCTAACTGCAAGATTGGTGGTTCAAACCTACCAACCTCTCTATGGGAGAAAGATGAGGCTCTCGACCTCCTCAAGCAGTTACTGTCTCAGAACCCCAGAGAGGCAGTTCTCCCCTGTCCTGTAGGGTTGCTAGGAATTGGAATCGACTTGATAACAATGAATTTGGGTTTGTTTGTTTTTTTGTTTTTTTTTTGGTGGGGCGGGCGATAAGGCACAGGAAGGTTAATTGGCAGAAGTGGAAGAGTAACTTCAGTAGCTAAGTATACATTGATCCTCAGGTGAGGGTAGAGGCGGTGGGGAGTGGGGGGAAAAGAAGGTAGGTGGTGGGATAGGGAGCTGGGAGAGACAGAAGGGTAGCCTCCATCCTTGCCTCTGCTCAGACTGCTGGGACTCACATAGACAAGACAGCAGAATCCTAAAGGGCGCATACATGAACCCAGACATCCACAAACCCGCAAGCCACAGATCACCACTCTACAGGGATGGCTTACCAACCTTCGGCTCCTTGTGTTTATTTTATAACATAGTTGAGCTCATTCTGTAACTGCAATTTGATAGCTGCCTGTATTGTCTCAGCGTTAACATAATGCAGACAGTTCCATGATTTTCGAAACCCCGTGGACACGTCTGCCTGGCACTTTGTCTGGTGGACACACTATGAAGGGTGCACTGCTCCCAGTGGTCAAAGGCATGGCTGTGGGACAGACATCCCGGGCTGGGTGCCCAGCCCCCTGCGCCTAGGTGTCGTGGCCTCAATGATCTCATCTGTAACATGGGTATAAGGTTGTCACTACCTCATGGGAGTTGTCACAAGACTCCGTGCTCACTTGGTGCCATTACCCACACCCACCCCGCAGCACCCTGGTGAGGCTGAGGCTTGGAGGCAGGCTCCTTTACAGGTGAGAAGGTTCGCTGACTGAGCTAAGGTACATGGCGTCCAGAGCATTGCCTTGTTAGTCTGATTCTGAGGCCCAGTCTCTTATCCACCATGCTCTCCTGCCTCCCTAAGGAGCTTGGCCCAATCACCCAGCTTAGTCAAGAGCAGAACAGAAATGTTGTTGAATCCAGAGTAGAGATATGACCGTGGCCCCTAAGGAAGTTCCTTAAGGAAGTTCCCCTCCAGGGCCTAAGACTGCCCTTCTACTGGCCCCAGCCTCTGCAGTGAGGCCACCGTAGCACGTTTTCAGAAAGCCAAAGAGACCCGGCCACAAGCCTGGTGGTGCCTGGACAGGGGAAGAGCAGTGTCAGTGGTGACATGACTCATACTCGCGGACCCTCCCTGTGCTCACCTGTCTAATGATTTTTATGTGGCTGCGCCCCCCACCCACCCACGGTCCTGTTTGCTTTAGCCTGTCAGACCACAGTTGGCAAGATTGGTTCCATGGATGACTTCTCCAGCCATGACCCAGCCAGCCTATAGTCAGTCTCTTCTGAGCAGGGACTGCACAGCTTCTCAGGAGTGGGTTAGAGGATGAACGTCATTGGCTGCAGTGCGACCTCTTTCAGTACACAGTGACCCGACAGGCAAGAAAAACAAATTGCCGTGGATGGAGGCGGGGTGGGGGGTGGGGGGCAGATGGGAATCCATTCCATCTCGTCACACATGGCAGGGTGCGACTGGCCTCGGGTGCGGGAAGTGCCACAAATGGCCTGCCAGCTGTGGGGCAGAAGGCTGGGCACCCAACTTGGCCACAGTGGGCCCTCTGCTGGGATGCTAGTGCCGGCCCCCCATACAGAACCCATCTGATTCTGCGACGTCCCGGTGACTCCTTGGCAGTGCGCTGGGTTATTCAGCAGATTCCATCTTAATTGCAAATGCTGTGCTGTTTCAGCGTAGGAGTGCCATTGTGCTTGCTGGTGTCAGGCCATTTTTGCTGAGGCGTACTTTTCCAGAAGGCTGTTACAAATTTAGAAAGTGGGAAATGGTGCTTCATTCGCTGATCAGAGTTTTATTTTGCAGACTGCATTTATTTTAGTATTCGTTTAAAGGTGCCAAAAACCGACATCCCTGGAGAGAGAATTGCTCAATTTTTTTGGCCAGCTTTGCCGGATTGTCCAAACTATATCTAGAGAACAATGTCTGTGGTCTTTATGTCAGCGGCCAGGCTTGCTAACAATCTCATGAGCTCTCATTTTGATTCATTTTTCAGAGACCCAAGAAGCCGCCACCCCCATCGGCTCCTGTCATCAAACAAGGAGCAGGTAAGGTACCTTTCCCTTCTATCAGCACCACATGCGGCCTTCCCTTTGCCTATGTGCAGATCAGCCGGGGAGGGAGAGCAAAGGATTCACTGGATGGCCAAACTAGGAAATGAAGATTGGACTGAAGCAGACAGGTTTTATAGATGCTGCTGTTCTTCTTGAAACAAGAAAATGTATCTCCGGCACAGTGAACATTTCTGGGTTCTCAGAGAAGCTGGGCAGAAAGTGCTTTAAAATAACCAGGGTTTATTTTGTTGTGTATTGTCCTTTTTAATAGACTGCTTTTTAAAAACAACTCAGCAGTTCTATTGACATATATTTCATATACCATATGGTTCAATAACTTCACCAGCACAATCAATTTTAGGACATTTTCTTCTTTCTTATACTCATTATCATTAGCTCTTCATGCCTTCCCCCCATCTCCCCTGCCATAATCCCAAGAAACTTTTAATCCAGCTACTGTCCTATAGATTTAAATACCCTCTATTAAGGTAGCAGAAAGACACTGGGCCTCTACTCAAGTACTCCCTCAACACAAGAACCGTTTGTTCTAATAACCTGGCATTCCATCATGCTCACCTTCCCAACAAGATTGCTGAAGACAAAATGGGAGCATAAGCAAATGTGGTGAAGAAAGATGATGGT